ACAGTTATGTCTGCTCATTTACAACAGAACTGTAATAAGAGAATTGGACAATTTTGTGATTTTAAAAACTGTCAAGACACATGAAAGGAAAAGTTTTGGTGAGAGATGAGAAACAAAGCCAACCAGAAGTGGAGTGGTAACAACATATCTTTAATGGCTGGCAACTATTGCTAGAGCAATCTGCAAGGTCACACATATTTGCCTTGAGCTGGAAAAGCTGAAGAACAGTGCAATTCATTGTGTGATAACTCTACAGTAAGAAACTGCAATTCTGTTCAGGTCAAACAGATGTAAATTGTCGTGCTGGAGTGGCCATGTATGAATCAAAAGCCTTAAGCTGATTTCAGTGCTGTGACACAAAAAATAAAGTAGTTCAAACAATTATAGAAGCCATTCAGATGATAATCAACACAGCACAATGTTATCAAATACACAGCTTTGTACCGAGCTAGAAGTATTTTGCATAGAAAATGCCATTCAGCTTCCTCTTCACAAAAGCCTAACATGATATTTAGTAATGAGAGATATGAGGTAAGTAGTCTTGTTAGTCTAAGGGTTGAGTTGTCTCTGAGTGAATGTTTGTTGAGTGAAATTGAAAGTCATTAATGAAAAATAAGAGCTAATAATAACTGTTTATTAATGTAAGTGAAGTAGAGAATGAACGGAGATGCTATTGTGCTTCAATTGAGAAGCCCTCTGTAACTTGAAAGCAGGAGATGAATGCATGCTTTATTTGCCTACTTCAAATTAATAATATGACAAATAGCATGAATAAAAATAAAATAATTATGCTGTACTTAAATCAGGGAAAAAATTTCATGAAAAGAACTGGAGAGTTTTCAAGTAAGAAATAAAACTTGAAAACAGAAAAGACTTTTTCTGATACTTTAAAAGAGCCTTGGGTCCTCTGAAATTTTATACATTTGGTTATCTCTACCGGTCCATGCCTATTTTTGCCCTCAATCCTATTCCTAAGAAACCAAGCATCTCTGGTCATTATTTCTTATAATCTGTAATTTTTGTAGGGTTGGAGAAGAGAGGAAGTGCCTTTTAATCTTAAATCTTACTAACTCTTCATTCTAAGTTTAAGTCAAATTCTTTCATGACATTGCTGACAGGAATAGCATTTGTTGCCCATTCCCAATTTCTTTCAACTGAATGGCTTGCTAGGCCATTTTAGTGGGGCAGTTGAGTCCACTGCACTCATGGGTCTGGAATTGAATGTCAGCCGGAACCAGTAAGAGTGGTAGATTTCCTGCCCTAAACCTGTTGGCAATGTTGTCTGCACCTAATTCTTAAAAGAAAAAAAAATTGTCACTTGTTTCATGAGAACAAGTATAATTCTGAAAGAACAGAATGCAAGAAATATTCAGCAGATAGCATCTGTAGAGGGAGCAATAAATAAATGCTTCAGTTCACATTATTTGGCTATTGACTATTGCAATAATCCACTCAGTAAGAAATGAGCATAGTCATAAAGACAACTACTGGACTGAGGCACAGCTCAAGGGCATTTGATTGAACTGTTTAAAAACAAGTCCTAACTTTATAATCAAATTTAGGTTACATTTGCAATAGGCAGCATTGGACACCATTGAAGAAAACCATTGAATAGGGGGTGGGTCCAGACTAGGTTCTCTACATAGGTTGACTAGCTTTTTCTACAATGAAAGTACAATGTAAAATCAAGATTTTTAAGTGTATTTCTTACCAGAAATGGCAATTTTTTGATTTTGATTTGTTCTGAACTAAGTTTCTCATTAGTCTGCTTATATCAACCTGGTTGCTGTTTCCAACTGTCAATCCCGTTGCTCACCAGGTCTAAATAATGTTTTTTTTCAATATAACTACTTGCCTCCATTTTTAAATAAACCCTCTTTTTCCTTTATTTATTTGAGATATTTAGGAGGAACAATTATCTGGGATTTTTGACTAAGAAAAGATGATAGTGTTAAGCTTTGTGATTGTTTGTTTGTCTTTTTTTCAAATCTTGCAAAGCTGGTCATTGAATCCCTACAGTGTGGAAACAGGCCCTTCGGCCCAACAAGTCCACGCCGACTCTCCGAAGCGCATCCCACGGGGGCAGATCCATCCCCCTACCTCTTTGTCCCTTTAACCCACCTAATCTACACATCCCTGAACACAATGGGCAATTTAGCATGGCCAGTCCACCTTACCTATACATCTCTGGATTGTGGGAAGAAACCGGAGCACCCAGTGGAAACTTCATACAGTCACGGGGAGAATGCACAAATTCCACACAGACAGTCGCCCAAGTGGGGAATTGAACCTGGGTGCCTGCTGCTGTGAGGCAGCAGTGCTAACCACTGAGCCACTGGTGTCATGAGAAGTGCATTCCTGCTGCCTCCTATTTTGTAGTACAGTCCATTGAGGTGCTGACATACTGTGCCGTTTTTCATGGGAAATTTCTATAATAGCTGTACATTGCTGTTTAATTTCAGACTGTTGATGGTTCTTTGTTCTCCCTTTTCGTAACAGTAATATCCAGGAAATGAGAAATCTACACAAAGAAACCTTCCTCAAGAAACACAACATAAAGTTAGGTTTCATGTCTGCATTTGTCAAAGCATCTAGTTTTGCACTACAGAATCAGCCAGTGGTAAATGCTGGTAAGTAGAAACTAAGTATGAGACCAAGTTCTACTTGAGAAGAAATTGTTTCAGTATTTCAAATCTACTTCTCTACCGCCTAGAAGGCTAGGTCATTGAATATGTTCAAGGCTGAGTTGGACTTTAGGTCAATAAGGGAGTCTAGGATTATACGGGGGGGCAGGTAGGAAAATTGAGTTACTGCCATAAATAAGCCATGATTTCATTAGCAGAATAATCTTGAGAAGCCATGTGGCCACTTTCTATTTCTAATATTCAAATTTTAAGAGCACCATAGTGATGAAAAAATGAAGGGTCCACTTGTGGGAAGTAAGTTAAAATTTGTCCTTCAGTGACCCTTGGTGAGTGGAGTTTTAATGAGGAGTTGGTCAATGAACATCCTTGTTTCCATATTTGTTTTACTGATGCTTGTTGGCTAAAAACTATGCAATTATCTACTCAAAGTCAGTGTTTACAATTGCTTTTTGATTTGCAACTATGTTTCAAACTAAAATAATCTCTTTGTCAGAAATTTTAGTTTTGCAAATATGAAATGAATTATCCTTCTGGTTTAAGTAAGTAAAGCTGCTGGGTTTTAAATGGGATAACAAAGTGTAGAGCTGGATGAACACAGCAGGCCGAGCAGGAAAGCTGACGTTTCGGGCCTAGACACTTCTTCAGAAATGGGGGAGGGGAAGGGGGTTCTGAAATAAATAGGGACGGGGGAGAGGCGGATAGAAGATGGATAGAGGAGAGGATAGGTGGAGAGGAGACAGACAGGTCAAAGAGGCAGGGATGGAGCCAATAAAGGTGAGCGTAGGTGGGGAGTTAGGGAGGGGATAGGTCAGAGAGGGAGGACAGACAGTCAAGGGGGTGGGATGAGGCTAGTAGGTAGGAGATGGGGGTGGGGCTTGAGGGGGAGGAGGGGATAGGTAGGAGGAAGGACAGGTGTTAGGGAGGCGGGGACAAGCTGGGCTGGTTTTGGGAAGTGGTAGGGGGAGGGGAGATTTTGAAGCTTGTGAATTCCACATTGATAGCATTGGGCTGTAGGGTTCCCAAGTGGAATATGAGGTGTTGTTCCTGCAACCTTCGGGTAGCATCGTTGTGGCACTGCAGGAGGCCCAGGATGGACATGTCGTCTGAGGAATGGGAGGGGGAGTTGAAATGGTTCGCGACTGGGAGGTGCAGTTGTTTAGTGCGAACCGAGCGTAGGTGTTCCGCAAAGCGGTCCCCACGCCTCCGCTTGCTTTCCCCGATGTAGAGGAGGCCACAACGGGAACAGCGGATACAGTATACCACGTTAGCAGATGTGCAGGTGAACATCTGCTTGATGTGGAAGGTCTTCTTGGGGCCTGGGATGGGGGTGAGGGGGGAGGTGTCGGGGCAGGTATAGGTGTAGCACTTCCTGCGGTTCCAGGGAAAAGTGCCGGGTGAGGTGGGGCTGGAAGGGAGTGTGGAGCGGACAAGGGAGTCCTGGAGAGAGTGGTCCCTCTGGAAAGCACATAAGGGTGGGGAGGGAAAAATGTCTTTGGTGGGGTCGGATTGCAGATGGCAGAAGTGTTGGAGGATGATGCGTTGGATCTGCAGGTTGGTGGGGTGGTAAGTGACGACGAGGGGGATTCTGTTTTACTTGTTATTGCGGGGACGGGGTGTGAGGGATGAGTTGCGGGAAATGCGGGAGACACGGTCGAGGGCGTTCTCGACCACTGAGAGGGGGATGTTGCGGTCCTTGAAAAACGAGAACATCTGGGATGTACGGGAGTGGAATGCCTCATCCTGGGAGCAGGTGCGGCGGAGGCAAAGGAATTGGGAATAGGGGATGGCATTTTTGCAGGAAGGTGGGTGGGATTTCCATTCATGAATGTGAACACTGATGGACTTATCCTTGTTTCTAATACACCTTTGGTGAGACCACCATAAAATTATTTAATTTTTTGAACAAAAATATCTAATGTGATTCAACCTGTACTTTACAGGAGTATATTCTTGTCATTTCTTTTTATTTGCCTTTACATATAGTAAAAGTATAATCTCAAAAGTATTTGTTTGTAAAGCAAAATAAACTGAGGGAATGATTCTTCTTTTAAAGTAAAATCAAAGTCTACTTTTTGCTTCATCCTCTTTATGCTAATTACTGTTCATAAATGAGGGAGGTATAACGTATTCCAGGCATTGTCTTAATACATAAATTGGAGGGTGAGTTGAAACTATTAAAAACTGCTTGACCATGTTTTCCCCCACCTCAACCACCAACCCAACCCTCTCCACCGCGCCAACTCCCCCAACCCCGGTGCTAAAAAGTGACATGGAACTTCTAAAATGTAAGACTAGAACAAAGGTGAAACAGCAAAAATTCGATTAAGACAGTAAAAGGACACTAGTAGTCTCTGCATCATGGACATGCAATATTAAGATAGTTTACTACACTGAAGTGGTTTCTTACTGCACAATACTATGTTCACAGCACTTGATCCCACTGCAATGTCATAGTTTTATTTCTGACATTTGTCATTAATGCAGCTTATCTTATCAGTGGTTTAATTTATGTTTTCTGCCCAGTTATTGATGATACAACAAAAGAAGTGGTCTACCGTGATTATGTCGACATCAGCGTTGCTGTAGCAACACCAAAGGTCAGTATTGAACAATATTTATTGGGATCACTGACATCTTAATTTTTTTTTTTGCCCTCTAGGGGTTGTGATCTTGATTGGCCAGGCCAGCAATTAATACCTTGTCCCAAATTTCTCTTAGAGATGGTGATTTGGTTTCTTTAACCATCACAGCCTACGTGATGCAGGAACTCTGTTATGGTTTCCTTCAGTCAGGAGTTCCAGGATTTTGACCAAGCAGTGATGACAATATATTTCTAAGGCTGAATGGTTGTAACTTTTGCCATGTGTCTAGTTGTCCATTTAGAGTTAGAGATCACAGGTTTGGGTATGTGCTGTGAAAGAAATCGATGGAAATTGTATGCAAAGTAATGGAAGGAAAAGAGTTTACATTATTTTCCATGCCGAATAAACATGTGGCTTTTAGACATTCAACGTACTGCATTACTTCAGTTTATATTCAAACTGAGAGCTCTGGGGTGCAAGTGATGCTAGCCGTCTGGTTATGGTGATCAGACGTGTGATTGTATTATGAGAAATAATTGTTATGTCATTTGAATTGTACATTGCTCATTGGTGGTTCCTGATATTTTTCATTTAGTTACATAACAATTTAGTAAATGCTCTGAGAGGTTGCCCATTTGGAGCTCCAAATCCTATTTTGGTGAAAATAAAGAAAATGTAAGAACTGAGAGTTTGCCTCTTGTTTTTGAGTAAATGTTTGCACATCTATGGAATTATTCTAAAACCCAAAACAATTTGAGTCAGCGATTTAGTGTAGGATTATTTCTGGTGCAATAAAACTTATTGTCTGGGATGTAGAGAACTGAATGGAACCTGTGGGCAGCACTCAAATCTGGAGGGGATTTTATGTTCATGAGCTTTCTCTCGGGCAACCATACCTTCTAATAATTTCCAAGCATAATAAAACAAAGATGGACTGAGAAAATCCATAGGTCTGTATACAGGTGCCTTAATACCAAACAAGATTACGTAATTTGGTTCAGTTTCACTTCTTTAGATGTTCTTGATTAATTTTGTTCTCCTAAATACAAATTAACATAGGCCAGATAAGTCCAAACCATTGACTGGTTTAGTGAGATGTAGTTTCACAATTGAGGAATAAATGCAAGCTATGTTTGTGGAAGCTCGTGTCGTCTTCAATATTTTATAATGCTGGTCTTCCCTTTAATGGTATTGTCCATCAGGTTTTCTTGTCAGGTGATAGCATCAAAATGTTAATTGTATACTTCTGTTCATTAGCAGGTATGTTAAGATCCCTATCAGAGATAAGGAACAATTTACCTATTGCCTCATGATCCCATTTATTAATAAGAGTAGCTGAAAAAACATGTGACCTCATCTTTGTATCCAGCCTAGCTAAGTGTAGTCTGGGTTTATTTTAGCCTTTCAGCAAAATGAGATTTTCTTTTAATCCCATTAATATCTCTGATTCGCAAGAATGATATCAGAATGAGAAACTAGAGGTAATGTGCATAAGGCTGGGAATCTTTTCTCTTAGATGATATTGAGGAGTGATCTACTGGAAATTTTCAAGATTATGACTTGGTTTTATGGGATAGAAATATGAAAGTGTTCGCATTTCAGGGGTATTCAAATCTAGAGATCATACATGTGGAGTAGTCACTAATAGATTTGAATAAAGAATTCAATGAAAGTTTCTTTACCTAAAGAGTGATTGGAACATGAAACTTCGACCAGTGAATAATTGAGGTAGATGCATTTAAGGGAAAATTAAACAATATCATGGAGGAGAAAAGAATAAAAGATATGCTGAGAGATGGCTTGTATAGAGCCTAAAAACTGCCATGGATCAGTTGCACTGAATGCGTAGAGACCATTCAATGTAATTCTCACTACTTGTGGTTTAAGCATTGTTGCAGAGACTTTAACGCAATCTAGGACAGGGTAGTGTAGTTCGGATGAAATACTCAGCTTTATCAATGAAATACACTATTACCCAGAGCTGCTGCTGTTTGGAAGCAATGTTGACCTGAAGTCCCACCTGCTCTGTCTGGAAAATGTCAGAGTCCTGGTGCTGTTTAAAGGCCAAAGAGGGGCTTTTTATTCAGTATCCTGGAGAACATTTATCCCTCAACCAGCATTACTAAATCAAATTATTGACTCTCATTGCATTTTTGCTTGTTGGACCTTGTACACATGTTTGCTGGTGCGTTTAATTTCATTACTACACCCACCAAACTTTTTTTTAAAATAACTTGTAAGATATCGTTAGGTTTTGAAAACTACTTTATTATCAAAAGCCTTTTTATCATTGCTCTCAATTTATATTAATATCCTGTGAAAAGGTATCCATTGGTTAAAATGGCTTAATTTATCCATTTGGATCATTCATTCTTTTTCATGTTAAAAATACTAAATTATTAGAATTGTGTATTTCTTGTCATTGTATATAATCCAAGTCTCCTCTTTGATTCATTTTGGCACGTTATATAAAAGCGGTGATTAATTTTATTTCTACCTACAGGGCCTGGTAGTCCCCGTGATCCGAAATGTTGAAACAATGAACTATGCTGACATTGAGAAAGCAATCAATGAGCTGGGAGAGAAGGTATTTGTTTCTCATGTTCGTTAATGTTTAAGATGCTGGTTCCCTAATGGTCTAAATGACTTGTATTTGTGTCCTGATTGTTCTACGTTGCTGTTCGTTCACTAGAACTTGTGAAGCTTGTGCCCAAATTATTTTATGCAAATAGTGTTGAATTGATTTTTTGGGTTCCGGTGCCCATATTTATTGATTGGAGTAGACAAATCAAAGTCAATTAGTTGTAATTCTGTGGGACCAAACTGCTTATCGCACAATGGAATGCAGTCAGGATAAACGTGAGGTGATGCAGTTGGGCAGGACAACAAAACAAGGGAATACATGATGAATTGTACAACCCTGTGAAGCACTGAGGTTCAGAAGAACCTTGATGTGCATTTCCGAGCCAAATTTTGTTAACGCATTGGAACACAGCCCACTCTAAAGTTCCCTGGCACTGCTCATGGTAAGGTGCCAGTTTTGCAAGGCATCTGATTCACTGAAACCACCCATGACAGGAAACGACAATCAGGTTTTCCAATGAGAGAACAAGGCCGAACGCCACCTTTTCTAAAAAGGTCAAGTGTTGGCTAGGAATTACACTGTACAGATGAGAGATGATGTAGATGGAGAAGACATGCAGAGTGTCTCTTGGTGATTAGAATGATTATGCCAGAGACATTAATTGAAGATTTGCAAATAGCTGTGCCGGGGAGATGAAAGAGCCTTGGGAGATAAGGTTAAGGATAATCCATAAAGATTCTACAGGTATATAAGAGCAAAAGAGCAGCTCGGGAGAGCCCCTTAAAGATCATCGAGGTCACCTGTGTGGAGCCACAGGAGATGGGAGAGATATTAAACAAAGAAGTGGAGGCTAGCTCCTGCTGATAACACTTCAGCCTCCTGGTCGTTGTTGGAATGTAACGATATGCTTTGCGATCTGTTCTTTGAACATGCCACCACCTTCAATGATCAATAGACTTTGTCTATTTGTCTCTCCCTGTTTCTCTGTCTAGGCATGCCACCTCACACTGGTCTTTGTGAAGGAGTAGGGTAGGATCTAAGTTGCAGCTACATAACATGAGGAAAGATATTTGCACAGTTGAAGAACCTCACGCATTTATGTTAAATTTCTTGGTGCAGGCCCGTAAAAATGAGCTGGCCATAGAAGACATGGATGGAGGTACTTTCACAATCAGCAATGGAGGAGTGTTTGGTTCAATGTTTGGGACACCAATCATCAACCCGCCCCAGTCTGCCATTCTTGGCATGCATGGTATTTTTGAGAGACCAGTTGCAGTCAAGGGCCAGGTGAGTAAAACGGTCAAGGACGCAACTTCCCCTCCACAGTGGTCAAAAACGCCTTCGACAGCATCTCTCGTGTTTCCCGCAACTCATCCCTCACACTCCCTCCCCGCAATAACAACAAAAACAGAATCCCCCTCGTCCTCATGTTCCACCCCACCAACCTCCGGATCCAACGCATCATCCTCCGCCACCCGCAATCTGACCTCACTACCAAAGACATTTTTCCCTCCCCACCATCATCTGCCTTCCAGAGGAACCACTCTCTCCGTGACTCCCTTGTCCGCTCCACACTCCCCACCAACCCTGGCACTTTTCCCTGCAACCGCAGGAAGTGCTACACCTGCCCCTACATCTCCCCCCTCACCCCCATCCCAGGCCCCAAGAAAATCTTCCGCATCAAACAGATGTTCACCTGCACATCAGATACAGTATACCACATTAGCAGTTGTTCCCGATGTGGCCTCCTCTATGTCGGGGAAACCAAGCGGAGGCTTGGTGACCGCTTTGTGGAACACCTACGCTGGGTTCGCGACAAACGACTGCACCTCCCAGTCGTGAACCACTTCAACTCCCACTCCTTGGACGACATGTCCATCCTGGGCTCCCTGCAGTGCCACAACGATGCCAGCTGAAGGTTGCAAGAACAGCACCTCATATTTCACTTGGGAACCCTGCAGCCCAATGATGTCAATGTGGACTTCACAAGCTTCAAAATCTCCCCACCCCCAACCGCATCCCAAAACCAGCCCAGCTCGTCCCCGCCTCCCTAACCTGCCCATCCTTTCTCCCACCTATCCACTCCTCCCACCTTCTATCTACCAACCTCATCCCCACCTCCTTGACCTGTCCGTCTTCCCTTGATTGACCAACCCCCACCCTAACTCCCCACCTACACTCACCTTTACTGGCTCCTTCCCCGCCTCCTTGACCTGTCCATCTCCTCTCCACCTATCTGCTCCTTTATCCATCTTCCATCTGCCTCCCCCTCTCTCTATTTAATTCAGAATCCCCTTCCCCTCCCCCATTTCTGAAGAAGGGTCCAGACCCGAAACGTCAGCTTTTCTGCTCCTCTGATGCTGCTTGGCCTGCTGTGTTCATCCAGCTCTACACCTTGTTATCTGAGTGAAACATTGTTTTGTTTTGATTCCTATATTTCTTATTGTTCTGAAAACATTGAAACTGTTTATTCTTTGTGACAGAATAGACGGCAACTTACTATCAGAGGCAAAATGCACATTTAGGATACTTTAGTAATTCTTGCAATAGATTTGTCTCATTTCCTTGCATCCTTAAGTTGTAGTTATTTTCTGACACTCTTGGACTCTTGAACTTCATATCTGCCAAAGTGACCTAAGGAGAATTAATCAATACTCCAGCTCCAAGCTAGACTTGGTCCCCCCTTGAGTGATTTAATCTGTTTCCGGGAATTATACAAACAGGATAAAAATAGAAGAGCATTTGTACAGAAGACCTGCAGGAAAGTATCAGGTTGTGTAAATCTGATGAGTCTACTCAGTGGCAGAAATTCTTTTCAACTGTTGGTTTGGAATTGGGAGCTGATCTTTGTTCCACCTTTACCATTGTTACACAAACATATCCCAAAGCGTATTTCATGATGTTGAAATAAGGATTTTCACAACTTAACTCATTGAAATTATAACTCAAACGAAACCAATAAATGTACAAGAAATGTGTTGTATTTGATGACTGGCCTCCAAGTTGTGGCTTGGTTGTTAATCCAGCTATTGTTAAGAATTTCACATGAAGCAATTGATGTAAAAATTTGTTTAAAAATTGGTGTCAATAACTGCATTTGTTAAGACCTCCCCCACCTTCCTCCAACCAGGCCAGTTCTATAATAATTTCTACATTTACCGTTTTAAAAATATAATTAAATGTGGAGAATTACATCCACAGAAGTCACAACTTTAAGCGACTTTGTTGCCCTGCATGAAGGGAGCTGACAGGCCTCTTAATAGTAAAACATTGCCTTCTCCTGGTGTAGGTGTTGTCCTACATTGGTGCTGATAGCAACTGCAGAAGAATTATCTTGCAGTGAGAGTCTGTGACCAGTAAATCAGTTGCCATGTGCTGATAATGGGCTTGTATCAGATGGGCCAGTGACTTCATTTATCATTGCAAAACCTTTGGCTGGATGAGTGCATTGCTGTATTTTGAAGGTGGGTTTTTGATAGCCACATAGATTGACTTTACTGATGCTGCAAAGTTTCCATTTCAACGTGTAGCTAGTATCCACTATCAGCCTGTCATACGTTTCTCTTTTATTGCAGGTTGTGATTCGTCCAATGATGTATGTGGCCCTTACCTATGATCACCGTTTGATTGATGGCAGAGAAGCAGTGCTTTTCCTTCGAAAAATTAAAGCTGCAGTTGAAGACCCTCGTGTGCTGCTCCTTGACATTTAGACTCTAATTGTTATTTAAAGGATAACATACTCGATATGCCACATACATTTTCACATATTAAATGTTTGTTAAACCTTTTTTGATGTTTAAAATTATAAATGAATGTTATATGGACAGATTGCAATTCTGTAGCAATGATTTATAATAGAAGGATATTGCATGTCAGGGTCCTAATCTATATTTAGAGTAACTTAATAAACTAGCATGGCTAACTTATCACTGATCTTTTTGTTGGGGGAAGCAACTTTGAGATCCCTCCCTCTTTTGGTATTAAACAAACACAACTGGTAGTTACACTGCAAGAAATTATGGTGGACTGGTGCAAGAGCTGGAAATGTCATATTGATACGCTGTGTTTGCTGATCTTGAGATTGTTGCTAAGGCAAGTCGTGAATCCTCTGACAGATGCTGTTCTTGATGAGAGAATGTTTCACAGTTGTGGAGCAGTGCTAAAATATTTTCCTTTCCACCACTGAAACAATTTTTAAATGTATTGCCTAAAAGGAGAATACATCCAGCAATATTGCTCCCCATTCAGTTAAGTGCAGAGAGAAGGTAAACTCATTATCCTTGTTCTGGGACCTTGAGTTGCAAAAATGTTACCATTTCTGCAGCAAAATTACCTAAATTCATGATCTGAGAATCCTTGATTTTTAACTTTACAGTTTCCTGTGACTCACCATGAGACCTCACGCTGACAGGATTAATGTGTTCCTGGAATTTATTTCCACTGTTTAAAATTCATGTTCTTTCATAATCAAGGAGTCTCAGAAGATATTTTGGATAACAAAGGTAGACGATGGGATTCTACATCTCAAACTATTGTGAAACTTTCATATCCTAAAACCAGTTTGGAGAATTTTGTCCAATTAGGCAATCTGAATTGCAGAAGTACTCCTGCAGAATATGTGTAAAAGTGCACAGTTGCATTTGATATCGTAAAGTCACGAGTTGCTTGTAGACTTGAGTATAAATTTACAACATCAAAATGTTGTATTTCCACTTGCACTAAACCTATGTAAGTTTTTCTTATTGCTTCATCTTTGTATAAGATTCATTACTATTTCATTCTTTTCACCCTCCATCACTCCTTTTTCTGAAATGCTTAGTTGAAATTAGGGACTTTAAAGCATTTGTGCATCAGAAACATGAGATCCTCTTTGTCACTGTGCTGTGCTGCATAATATTAGTCCCCAAGCATTGCGCCATGGGACCACATCACTACATTGAGAACAAAGCAGTATGTTTCAAACCAAACCAAACCAAACAACTTCTGGCTTGAAATTAGTTCCTGCCCTCAGAATTGAGCTAGCTTTACAGATGGATAAATACGCACAATTTTTTCATCCCATACAGTGCTGAGGTCTGCAGACAGTATTAGAATTAGTAGGAATGGCAAACTTAAATCACCACATCAGGGTATTATTTAAATTAACAGAACTTTGTATCTTTATAGTGTTTTTGTCATGTAAGAAAATATTCCTGCACCCTTGAGTGAACTGAGTCCTTTAGAAGTAATCATTAGCTGTGAAGTATTGCCTGACATGCAATAGCCTCCTTATGTAGATGGATTATAATTGTACAAATTGATAAATGGTTGATAGCTGGCTCTCTTATGAAAGTAAGGACAGCAATCTACTATTCTTCTGGAGAACATGGCAGTCAGGGATTTGCCAGTCTTGCACTGTGGTCATAAGTATACAATACACGTAAAGATTGAAAATGAAAGGCTGATCGAGTGGAGTTGAGTTGTATTGTTTGGTGGTGGGGGCGCTGGTGGAAGCAAAATGTAAAGCGCTGGGAATGAGGAAAGAGAGAGAGAGAACATTAAGTTTTAATTTACAAGATACATGTGTCGTCTTTGATGTTACTGGGCATTAACTAAAACAAAATGACCCAGGTGTCTTCCTTGCTGAGGACAAATACATATAATTGCTAATACTGTTCCCAGTTTCCCTCAAACTTGCACATAGTTGCCCAGCAGTGATACTGAGTATCAGTATTACTTTCCTCAGATTGTGCAACTTTTAAATATCTGATGCATGGTCATGGCCATGTTTTTACTTGTGGCACAATCTAATCTGTTGCGGTTCTGGCCATGGGAGATGGTTAGATGTATGTATGCTTTTTATTTAAATTATCTGCACCGCAGTGCGGTCAGTGGGAGGAAAGAAGCCAACCTGAGAGTGATAAATAGATCCGTTAACCAAAAAAGAGAACAAAGTCTTAGAGGGTTATTGAGAACTTGCTTCCATACAACCTCTAACTCTTGTGTGCCTGCTGGATGACTCGAGATATCTTATACTTGATTGTACCATTTGATCCACTCCTAGTTGGTGCTTTGACGTGACTTTCATGACACTCGGGATGTTTAGTATTGCCATGTACCACTCAGTTATTGAAATTCCAAAGAGATTTACATTTATAACCGGGAAATGAGGCAGTAAAGTTGGAATGATGCAGAGGAGAAATTGTTATGTAATAGTTTATTTGAAAACAAAAATAAATGTATCTAACTGTTCAGGTCCTCTTGTAACTGCTTCAGGGGCTTGGGAACAACGAAGCATTCTGAATGGAAGATGGATGATCCTTTTGTCATTTATGTTTTTTAAACTTTTTTTCATTTTATTATGTAGAAGTCTTCTGTGGTGTTTGCATAAGTTTTTAAATTCTGTGCTTATTCTATACTAAAAATTGAGTCCTTAATTTTCTTGGTTGTGATGGTGATTGTTGTTTGGGCGGTTGTGGGATGGAGTTGATGGTGACAGAAAGCAGGATTGTTGCAGATGTTTGCCATGTGCTATAATTCTGATGTTCACCTGAAACTGCCAGAAAACAACTGGAGACTGCTTGCAACGAATGGGTTATTGCCAATATTAGGATTTATGGATCGGTTTTTGAGGAGGAGAACTCACTTTTTGCTTCCTTATGCAAGACCAAGACTTGGAAGTCAGCACTCTGGTCAGAGCTGGAACCATTGTGGGAGTTGCTGGATCTGATGTATTAATAAAGGACAAGAGGGTAACTAAGATAAGAGTTGCAGGCCATAGTTTGCGGGCATGCCTAGTTAAGAAGGGTGTCACCTGAACCGCTGAAAGAAGAAACATTTTTTTTGAGGCAGACGTCTGAAAAGGTGGTGAGCAGTGGATTTGGCTCCTAACTCCATATGGCGGCACACCATTATTGATCCATAGTGATGTGTGTCTGCATATTGACCCCACAAGCTCTAAGTGGGATATTAAGAATGGAGGAGGATAACATGCAATTATGATAGTTATATCAGAATTGTGTGTCTCAGAATCACTTTCTCACATTGAGTGGGATTATCATTTACTGAGATCAGTATCCAATGATGCTTCACTGAAAGCTGCTCTCATGATGACCACAGTGACGTTCAGGCCAGTTTAAAAAGTGCCAAATTATCAACCTGTGCAAGACGATGATCAGATTGTTGCAGCAGCAATGCTGAACAGTCCCAGGTTATTGTCACTGATATTCATTCTACCACCTTAATTTTCCTCCATGGCCATCTGGGCATATATTCCATCAAGTATATTCACTTTCCTCAAATGTTGATTTGAAAAGACCTCTCCATTGGGAGAAGTGAATGATGGACTCCTTTCCCAGCATTCTGCACTTTTAATAATTTTGAAATTGCTTGACTTTTACTCCATTAAACCATTCCTACACTTGGCACTGTTCCAATTACTGTACCGTAATATCTAATGAAATGCTAAGAAATTTTCTTTTAATCAGAGAATTGTGGTAGCTAAATTTTCATCAGTCTAATCAATGTAGGAACTTGTGACGATCAGTTTGGTGTATCTCATTCCCATTTGGAATGCCCCAGTAAAGCCCTGTACTTCTGTACCTAAATGGTTTTGCTTTATTTTATTTGGAGGATTAGGGTAACTGAATTTTAAGTAGCCTAATCAACTCAGGAGGTCATGCTGATCGTTTGGCTTATCACATCACATCACATCAGAAAGCTCCAGTAGGGCTCCACAAAAAAAATGCCATCTACACAATTGTCCAATTATATTGGATGACTATATGGTATTGGGCAAAGATTTGGTCTGGTACACTAGATTTATACACAAGTCCCTAAGCAGAATACGTTCTCATATTATGGTGCTGGAGCTTGATTCATACATGTTTGTGATGCACATTGTCAAAATCAGAATACATTCTGTGTTTGTGAACCAGCCTAGCTGACTCACCTGTGTGATGCAAAGTTTTATGGTTTCAGAGACCCACTGTTCATACTTTCACACTTTTTTTATTTATTGTTCAGTTTAGTGATTTAACCCTCAAAAGCCCTGTATTTTAGTGCTTCATTCTGAGCCAATACATGTGTGTAAAATTTTCTTGCAAGCGTATGGGAAACTTTGAAAGTGAGAAGTTTCTTCCTTTGCCCATTGGCCCTTTACCCTTTTTGATCCCCACCCACCCCTCACCAAAAACATATCAAGTGTATGCAGCTGCAATGGTGAACCAAATTATGTTTTAAAAAAATTGACAAGGTATTCAAATGAATCCCTTTGTTTTGTTACTGGAGTCCACACTGCTCCCCACGCACAATGAATTGGCAGATAAAGAAAGAGTCGCCATTCATTAGGCCCAATATAGAGATGAATGCTTGATCTGCATGAGAATAGAAGTAATTCTAATATGGGCATGTGGAATGAACAATATGTTTTTAGCTTTTTACAATTCCAGCCTCTTCAAGTTCCATTAGCAAGGGGGTGGTAATTAATGTGGTTGTTGCTGCTTAAGGTGTTTTTGATACTAATTTATTTATTTACACATGTGTTCTTTCAGAATTTGGCACCAAGGTGGAATATTGGATAAACCATTTCTTTTTGAAAAGAAACAACCTAATAATTTTGTTTTCATGTGTACTTCTGTACAAAGTATCTTGGTCTCTTCCTGCCAAATAGAAGAGGCAAAACAATAGCAATGGTATTGTTTGTTAATGCTAAAGCTTGGCATTATGCAAAGTTTAATTTTATTGTAACGAGGTGAATAGTGGCCTTTCATCTCTTATGATCCAGATGAGAATCTATCCTAGGCAAACAAGATAAAGGTCTTGCTTTGCTGAAGTGAAATAATGGGCTTGGATGTTAATCCTTCGTATCTCAGCTCTGGAAGTGAACCCATCCAAAGCAAATGGAATGAAGTTCTTGCTCTGTTTAGATGGCACAGATGGGTTTTAGGGATGCTGTCCTTCCATCACATTTAATTTTCAAAGTCACAAGATGATTGCTTCATTTTTTTAATTGGAGAATGGGGATCTGGTAGCAAAATGTTTTTATAATTGTCCACCAATCCAAAACAAAGGGCTGCTAGATATTAAATAAAGTACAAACTTCCTCTAGTTGTGAGCTCTCAGTAGTTGTTAGTTATATGAATTTACTGACTAGCTGTACAATGAACATAAAAATGTCAGGAAATGAGGGGAATGAAAAATAAAATGCAATTATTGATCATTTTAGCTGTGAGAGACTTTTTAATGAGTGAACTTGAATGTTGCAGGTTCCAGAAATTAAATTCATAACAATTTGGTCCGCACTACAATCCTTTCGGAAATTGACCATGAACCCCATTTACTCTGGGGTTCTGGACATCTGCTACCACTTAGTTCATAAAATAAAGGAAGAGAATTAGGCTCTTTGGCCCATCTGTTCCACCATTCAATCATGTATGATGTACCTGAACCCCATTCTCCTGCCTTATCCTTGTAAACCTTGATCCCCTTACTAATCAAGAACCTATCTGTCTCTGTCTTAAATACACTCAATGACTTGGCCTTAACATCCTTCTGTGGCAATATGTTCCACAGATTCATTCTCTAGCTGAAGAAGTTCCTCATCACCTTACTTCCAAAGGGTCACGCCTTCACTTTGAGCTGTGCCCTTGGGACCTAGTCTCTCCTACTGGTGGAAACATCTTCTCCATGTACACTCTATCCAGGCCTCTCAGCATTCCAAGTTTTGATGAGATCACCCCTTATCCTTCTAAACTCCATTAATTATGGACCCAGAGTCCTCAACTATTCCTCATATGAAAAGCCCTTCATCCCTGGGACCATTCCTGTAAACCACCTCTGGTCCCCTTCCAACATCAGCACATTGTTCCTTAGATACAGGACCCAAAACTTCTCAATATTCCAAATGTGGTCTGACCAGATCCTTCTACAGCCTCACCGTACATTTCTGCTTCTGCATCCTAGCCCTCTTGGAATGAACGCTAACATTGCATTTGCCTTCCTAACTGATCACTGGACCAGCACATTGACCTTGAGAGACCTAAACTAGGACTCCTAAGTCCCTTTGTGCAACAGATTTCTGAAGCCTTTTCCCATTTAGATAATAGTCTATGCCTGTATTCTTCCTACAAAAGCGCACAACTTTACACTTTCCCACATTATACTTCATCTGATATTACTTTGTCCACTCTCCTAGTGTGTCCAAGTCTTTCTGCAGCCTCCCACTTCCTCAACACTACCTGACCCCTCCTATGTTTGTGTCATCTACAAACTTAGCAACAATGCCCTCAGTTCCTTTGTCCAGATTGTTAATGTATAATGTGAACTGTGTGGTCCCAACACAGACCCCTGTGGAACTGGGATGTAGCTGGCATGCTGAAAAAGACCCTTTTATCCCCACTGTCTGTCTTCTGCCAATAAGCCAACCCTGTATCCATGCCAGTACCTTGTCCCCTACACGATGGGCTCTTGTTTAGCAGTCTCCTGTGTGGCACCTTATCAGAGTCCTTCTGGAAATCCAAATAGATCATGTCCACTGGCTGTCCTTCGTCCAATGTGTCCATTACCTCCTCAAAGAATTCTAACAAATTTGTCAGACATGACTTCACCTTGACAAAGCTGTGCTGACTCTGTTTTACCATTCACTTCGAAGTACTCCACAATCTCATTCTTAATAATCCTTAATGAAAATCTTTCCAACAACTGAGATCATGCTAACTGGCCTATAATTTCCTGTCTTCTGCCTCCCTTTTTATCAAGGGTGTTGCATCAGCCCTTTAGCAGTCCTCTTGGACCCTCCCTGACCTCAGTGGATCCTGAAAGATCATCTCCAATGCCTCCACAATTTCCTCAGCTGTCTCCTTCAGAGGTGTAGTCCATCTGGTTCAGATGATTTATCCACCTTCAGAACTTTCAGGTTCCCCAGCACCACCTTAGTGGTGATCACTTACACTGACCTTTGCTGCCTGACTCTCCTGAAGCTCTGATATGCTACTGGTGTCTTCCATCATGAAGACTGATGCAAAGTTTGTTTGCAATTTTTTTTGTTCCCCATTACTACTTATCTTGCCTCATTTTGCAGAAGTCCGATGTGCATTCTTGCTTTTCTCTTACCTTCTATATATTATACAAACTCTTGCAATCTTCTTTTACACTTTTAGCTAGTGTCGTAGAAATGACTAGTTTATTGCTTGCATGCATCAGCCAAGTGATCTTTTTGGAGTTAAAGGCATTCTGCTCTCTGCTACAAAAGT